GCTAGCCCTGGGAGAGCCCGCGACGTTGCATGGCTCTCCCAGGGCTAGCGAAGCGCCGCGCTAATCCCGAAGCTTGGGGCGCGCGGAGTTCAGCGCACCCCAAGCTTCTGGGTGCCAGCAAGGTCTCGCTAGCCCTGGGAGAGCCCCGCGACGTTGCGTGGCTCTCCCAGGGCTAGCGAAGCGCCGCGCTAATCCCGAAGCTTGGGGCTTTGGGATTAGCGCTCCGCTCAGCCTGCTTCCCGGAGCGCCGGGCGCCCTGAAAGCAGAGCTCCAGGCGCTTCGGGAACACATCCGCAGCATGGGGAGCCTTGCAGGAATTCCCCACAGGGCTCCCCACGCTGCGGATAGCAGCCTGCTGCCTGGCGGGTGGGGCGCCCTGAAGCAGAGCGCCCCTCGCGCCAGGCAGACATCCGCAGAGTGGGGAGGCTTGCAGGAGTTCCCGACAAGGCTCCCCACGCTGCGGATAGCAGCCTGCTGCCTGGCGGGTGGGGCGCTCTGAAGCAGAGCGCCCCTCGCGCCAGGCAGACATCCGCAGCGTGGGGAGGCTTGCAGGAGTTCCCGACAAGGCTCCCCACGCTGCGGATAGTTTCTAGCAGCCTGTGTGGCAAGAACGGCCTTTAGGGAAGGTGAGCATGCTGGGCTTTTTTTAAGTGGAGCAAAGCTAAGTTAGGAAATCCTGCTTGCATACTTCTGTGCCTCTGGGCTCCACAGCATGAGCTAAAGAGGAAAAGCTCATTCAGGCTCTTTCTAGTAAAGGGCTAGCCCAGACATTAAACAGAGAGAAACAGCTGCCTGATACTGCAGATACTAGAGGTCAGGAAACAGGGACCAGGTGTCTTTCCTCTGTCCCCTAAATAAGAATCAGTGCAGTGGGGTGGTGAGTGTCAAGACTAGGACCCAGGAAACCAGGGGTCAAATTCCCCATTTGGTCATGAAGCTTACTGGGTGATCTTGGGCTAGCCACTGCCTCTCAGCCTAACCTACCTGACAGAGTTTATACCTGACAAAGGATTATTTTGAGAAGGCAGGGAGAACCATGTATGCTACCTTGAGCTCCTTGGAGAAAAAGGGGGGATATAAATGCAATCCAAATTTCAGGCATAGTGGAGAACACAACATATTGAAATTAAATCCAGCTGTTAATCCAGCTGTCTCAAGCAGCAAAATGTATTGAACTGGCCTTGGAAAAATTGATGCATTGCAAAAAGAGAAAACAGGCTTATTGCATGGAAACAATAAAATGTATATAATGGCCACTCATAATGTTGTTGGAAGGCTGCAATATCTGCACAAGCCACTTGTAAAAATGTGATGGGAGGAAGAATCACCTCTGACCTTAAAACAGATGCATATAAAGCTGGGTTGTAGTTCCTTTTCTATGAAGAAACAACCTTTGAAGGATTCCAATTCAGAGTGAAAAGAGGTGGTCAAGTTCTGGAGGGAGGGGGACTCCATGTAAAGAGACAAACTGTACACACTCAAGCACGATGCCTTCCTCTGTCTTTGTTCTCTGTTCCTGGAGGTGAAAGCACCAGCCAGCCAAGAAAATCGAAATACAGTCTGGAACAATGGATAAGTTCAGTGTTTCTGTGTTTTGTCTGTTGCTAACATTTTCTGATCCTGTGCTTTGTGAAGCTATGTAAATACACAAAATTTTGAATCAGCTGCAAATTTTGTTGGCATCCAATGAATTAATTAGCAAACAGAGGCTGATACATCATATATCCAATCTGCAACCACACAGCTGGATGACACTGCCTTTACCACCGTCATTCCCTGATAGTTGCTGGGTAAGGGTCTGTGTTCTCCTCACCACCCCAAGATGACAGCAAGGAATTCCCAACGGTTATGAGGCAAACATCTGAGCCCACATGTGTATAGATCCAACAAACTCTCTTGATATACAGGCAGCAAATAATCATTCTGTACATACAACGCCATTGTAATAAAAAAGGTATAAGAGTTAAAAAGTTCCTAACTACCCAAAGCCTAGAAAAAGGGAATACAGCAATGTGCCACAGTATTCACACTACAAGAGAGGGAAAATAGAGAAGCACAAAGTCAAGGAGCTGAGCTCTGTGCCTTCTGCAAGAGTTAAGCTCTCCCCTTCAAATCCTATGCCAGCAACACAACTTCACACCATTTCTTGGTCTGTAGTCCAGTGAAGCCTAAGAGGCTTGATCCCTGAGATCACTGAGAAGTAAAGAAGGGGTCCTGTTGGAGCGGTGAGCTAACAAACCATTGAAAACCATGGGTTTAAGTATAGTTTGACTCTAGCTAACGGCTATAGAGAGGGCAGGGGGCTTCCTTGGTGAGTAAATAGCACAACATCAAGTCCTTTGAACTGTTGTTTGCTCTCTCTAGTGTACTACTGGGCTTTGCGAGGTAAGTTTGAAGTGCAGAGGACACAACCTTAATTTTGGGAAGACCACATCTTTATCTTTACAGTTCCTGAGTTGTAAATTTACTTTACAAGAGAATTCCATTGAGTGTGTGAAGGCCGGTTCCTGCATACAGCAGGGTGATAACGAGATATTTCTGGGAAATATAAAGATTAGTGCTCTGATATTTTCTGCAACAATTAAGGTCAGGATGTTAGCTGTTCTTTCCAAGACACATCTGAGAGAGGAGCTTTTCGTGAAGGGTACATTTTAGTTTCAACTTGTGCTAGCTGCACTGATGCCATGATCCATAGAAATAAAACCATGTGAAATGCCAGATTAGAACCCATCACTGCACAACAACCTTCCTCAACGGCCACCACTGTATCAACCAATGTCCACAGTATATGTAGCCATGATGTATAACCACTGCAAGCTACACTGCTATCAAGCCACAGTGCTTAGCGATCCCAGCACTCAGGCTAGTCGGAAGCTCTGATTCATTTAACAGAGACTATTCAATTACAGCACTGGCATTTTAATCCTAAATATTTGCATTAGAACACCTGCTGCAATGCTATGATGACTGTGAACATAAGGGCACTCTTCTGCTTTTTTTTATGGAAATACCTGCTAATTATTATGAGACAGGTCAAATCTACATAAACAAGGAATGGTATGTTAGCTGTTTCAAAAGCAGCTGGTGAAGGTTGCTGCATGGGGCAAGAATAATTGGTTTGAATATGTCATTTGCCATCATTATTAATAAAGGTATTTTTGTAAGCTATCTGTGGGAAATTTTCTGCCCATCTACGTGTGTGTGTGTGTGTGTGTGTGTGTACGTGTGTGTGTGTGTGTGTGCGTGTGTGTGTGCACTATTATGTTGAAATAACCTAATTGTTGGGGAAAGTAACAAAATAAATGTTCATCTTTGCTAATGTTGAAATGGGACTATCAGTGTGAACGTAAAGGACACACACTCCTTGAAAATTAGCAATCGGAAATAATTGTCCAACGCAGCAGCAGCAGCAGCAGCAGCAGCAGGATTATGCTACATATGAGAAGGGCCAACACCACTTACACCAACAGGACACAGGACACACACCCTCCACTGTCCTTAGAAAATCCCATAATCCCAATTTTATTTAATTTTATTCTTTGGCAGATTTACAAAAAGAAAAATACACACCAATAAATAAATTTTAGAATGGGGTAAGATTAGATGTAGGGACGCGGGTGGCGTTGTGGTCTAAACCACTGAGCCTAGGGCTTGCCAATTGGAAGGTCGGTGGTTCGAATCCCCGTGACAGGGTGAGCTCCTGTTGTTCGGTCCCTGCTCCTGCCAACCTAGCTGTTCAAAAGCATGTCAAAGTGCAAGTACATAAATAGGTACTGCTCCAGTGGGAAGGTAAATGGCGTTTCCATGCGCTGGTTTTGCCAGAAGTGGCTTGGTCATGCTAGCCACATGACCTGGAAAAACTGTCTGCGGACAAACGCCAGCTCCCTCAGCTAATAAAGCGAGTGGGCGCCACAACCCCAGAGTCATTTGTGACTGGACTTAACTGTCAGGGATTCTTTACCTTTACCTTTTAAGATTACATGCAAAAAGCATTAAAAAAAAATCAAGATTCCTTGTACTCTGCTTCACTCTCCCTTTTTTCCCACCCAGGGTGCTTCTGCCCTCTGCCTGCCCCTCAGAGCCAGCGCATCATGTGGGGCTGGGAGGCAGCCTCTCCTCCTCCTTGCCTGCCTTCCAGCAGCCACTACAAGCTGCCAAAGGAGGAGGCCAGCAGCAGCCATGGAGAGGCAACATGGTGCTCCCTCTCAGCCTCTGCATCTGCAGCTGCCATCGCTGGGGACAAGAGCCAGCTCATCTTCTTCCTCAAGTTCAGCAGTGGAAGCACTGGTGGGTTAAATAGGGGCATTCCGTGACCAAACCAGAAGCCAGGATGGCTTTCGTAAGTCCAGGACTGTCCCTGGAAAATCAGGACACTTGGAGGGTATTCAATAGACCTTACTGGCCTCCCTTGAATCTGATTTTGTGTGTTTTTTGACGGTTTGTTTTACTGAGCGATACTTTTGCGATTTTAATTGTTTTCATTGTGTAACATGTATTGGAGTTTCTGTTGTTTTAATGAAATTCGCTGCCTTGAGCACTCTGTGTTCAGAGCGGAAAGGCAAAATAAAAACACAAAAGAGGCAAAGTGAAAACATTCGGGAACGGGGCTAACTAGCATTTAAACAAGAACAGCAAAGCACGCCAGCCCACTTGCGGGACCTATTGAGGATCATTCCCACTTCTCACATTCTTGGATTATTACTGAGGATTAATTGTCAACTTCCCTTTTTTCAGGAGGAAAAAGAGCAAAAGTCATAGTGCTTTGGTAACACCTCCCAAAGAACAAAGTTGCAAAATACTCAGAGGCAGTGAATGGTATAAAAGGAGCTTGTTAAAGCTCATGACTTTTAAACTGCTTTTGGCGAAATATAGTAATAAAACAATTAAGAAGATTGTAGCCTACATAAAATATAATATTTAATACCATCCATCTTCAAAGATCCGATGTTGCAACAAGGTCAAAAATGAGCTTGCAGATTAATAGCAATGAATTCACTGAC